GGGCCCAGCCAAATGTGGCCGGGGACAAAAGGCACACACACTTTCCCCCCTGGGGCACTGCCCAGGAAGGGGTGAGCAAGGCACAGCGCTCTGGAGGGCACCTGTTGGCACCTGCTTGCATCCAAGGGTCCAGGGTGGGCCTCGGGGTCCTTCCTAATGGAGGAAGGACAAAGGGATCCGTGATCCCACTAAGAGTCACGACCAGCCGCTGCAGAAGGGGACAGCTGCGGTCCCATGGGACAGGACCCTGCGCACACGCATCCCTGGTGGCCAGCGGGCCTGACCCTCCGCCCTTCCCGGCCAGGTCCTCCTGCTGGAGGCAGCAGAGCAGCCCTCGGGCCCGGACAATGGCCTGCCCGTCCCGCAGAGCACCCCGCCCTGGAGTGAGGACTTCCTCCCGGGCGCCATCCCCCTGGCTCACCCCGGGCCCCAGAGGAGAAGGCCCACGGGCCCAGCCGGTGAGTGCGGCCTGCAGGGCGCGGTGGGCTGGCCTGCCCCCAGGGACCTCCCCAAGTTGGCCTCAGTGTCCAACAGGCTCAGGAGATGCTTGGAAAAGCTGAGCCATGGCCGTGGGGGCCAGGGAGGCACCTGGCAGCTGCTGAGGCCCAGCCTGGACTCTGCCGTCTGCCGCAATCGCCACCCCTCCTTACTGTCCTGCCGTCCAGCCACTGTCCTCAGAATGCCTGCCCTGGACCACCAGTCCCGCCCAGCCCGTCCCTGCTCAGCTCCATCTTGTGGAAGGCCCTGCCCACATCCCACAGAGTCCTCGATGACCCCGCAGGCCAGAACTGGGGGACATCTGTCACCCTGTCTTCTTGTCCTACTTTAAAGTCAAGGGTAAAACGTCCTCTCTGCAGATTCCACCTGAGCTCTCCACTCTGCCCTCGGGCTGCAGTCACAGGGACAGTTGTCAAAGGCCTGGTCAGGACTGGACACTCCGCTGGGGTGTGTCCTGGGGAGATGTTTAGCCAGCACCTGTCAATACGGCTGCACCCGGGTCTATCTACGGCTGGGGCCCCGTGACGGTCAGGGTGCACGCTGTGCGGGTTACTGAGTATGTTCATAGGCAGAACAGGTTCCCTTTCTAAGCTGTGCACAAAGCTTGTGAGTCTTAGTTACAGAGGAGAAAACCGAGGCTCAGAGAAGTTAGGTAACTCGCCTTGGGTCACCAGCATTTTGCCACGATGAGCCTCAGCCCCACCTCAGCCCTTTGGAGGGAACACACTTGCTCGCTCTCCTCTCCCAGTCGAGCCCCCAGACTCAGCTCTGGGCACCCACCTGTCCTTCACCTCCTCTGTCCTTATTCTGACAAGGGATGCAGGAGGGGGACAGGGAGGGCAGATCCCCAGGTGGCATCCAGCGGCCTTTCCTGGGGAGAAGCAGATGCCCTGCGTCCTTCTAAAGGAGCCAGAGCTGGTGGGAGGTGGCCGGGGCAGGCTGCCATGAGGAAGGTGGGGCATCGCACTTGGGTGGCCTGCGCCCTGAGCCACTGCCCCCAGGGTCTCATGCCCAGGACACTTCCCCATGACCTCCTTCTTCTGGGTCCTCAGAGGACCCAGACCCCAAGCCCTCTAGGTGGGTGTTGGGAGGCCCCTGCCTTTCTCACCAGGGAACATGCAGTTCCTACAATGGCCACAAGGTGGCAGGAGCACACTACAAATGGTGGCACCTGGGCGTCCTCCCAGCTGGCCCCAGGAATGGAGGCAGGTGGGGCTCCCAGGAGCCCGAAGCGCGGCCAGGACAGGAAGGGCACCGAGAGGCAGAGCAAGTCCTTCCACCCAGTCAGCAAGCCCAGAGGGACAAGGGGCCAGAGAGCGAGTCCACCCCCCACTCTGGTCCAGCCCCAGGGCCTGGAGACCACAAGCCCTGTACTTGACCTCGAGCAGGGAGGTAGTGGGGCAAGAGGACGGGACCTGGAGTGCAGGGACCTGAGCCACACCTGGCTCTGTGACCTTGACGGAGACCTCACCCCCCTGTGGTCAGGCTCCGAGCCACCGGGACGCAGGGCCCCGAGTCTCAGGCCTCGCCTCCCTCTCTCCTAGGGCCCCCAGGGCAGACTGGGCCACCAGGGCCTGCAGGTCCCCCGGGCTCCAAAGGTGACCGGGGCCAGGCAGGAGAGAAGGGCCCAGTGGGACCTCCAGGTAAGGACCTCTCCCGTGTCCTCAAGAGGAAAGGACCGTTCGTCCGCTGCCCTGGCAGCAGAGGTGTCCCCTGTCCCGCCAGGAGCCAGGCTCCTTCCTCTGTCCCCTCCCTGTCAAACACCCTGGGCTGTCAGGAGAAGGACTACAGGGACCCTGGGTGAGGGCGGCCAGTGCCAGGATCAGGGGCTTGTTCTCAGCCACTGAAGCAACCTCCAGGACCCTTTGTCTCCTCCCGAGTCCCTGGGGGGTGGCGCTGGCCGAGGTCGGGAGCCCCTCTTGGTGGCTGAGCTCCCTGGAGGACCCCCGGCGTTGGCTGGGGTCTGTGCTTGTCCTGCTGTCCCTGCCTCCCTCTCCTCTGTCCCCGCTGCCCCGTCCCCTCTGCACTGGGCTGAGAAGGAGGAGCTTCTCATTGGCCTCCCAGAGGCTCCCTCCACGTGACCCTGGCCAGCCTGTCCCCGCAGGGCCTCAGTGTCCCTGCCTGCACCTGCCCCGCCCTCACGGTGACTCCTCTCCCCCACTGCAGGGCTCTTGGGGCCGCCCGGGCCCCGTGGGCTTCCTGGAGAGATGGGGCGCCCCGGTCCCCCAGGACCCCCGGGCCCAGCAGGCAGCCCGGGCCTCTCGCCGAGCGGTCCCCAAGGTGTCCTCTACTCTCTGCAGCCGCCTACGGACAAGGACAGTGAGTGCTATGCAGAGGGCCGGGTGGGCAGGGGCGCCTCACTGACTCGGGGGCGGTGACCTTCCCCAGAGGGGTCCCAGGGAAGCTGGGATCCTGCCAGGGAGGGGATCAGTGGGAGCCAGGACTGGTGCTGGCAGTGTCCCTGGGGGCTGGTGCCGGTCCCAGCCTCACTCTTGGCCCCAGGATGGCTTGTCCCCACCCCAGGGCTCAGCCCCCTGCCTCCAGCTCCTGGTGGCCATTGCCTGTGGCCTGGCCCCAGTCCCGCCCCCCCCCCCCAGGCTGTCCCAGGTGGCTGTCCCTGGCTGCATTTCCCCTACAAGTCTCCTGGCTGTAGGTCATGTGACAAGTGTTTACTGAGCACCTACTACATGTCAGACTCAGCTGTGAGCAAAATGGGCTCCCCCAGGCCCCGGGGGCTGGGCTGGGGCAGGGGGACCCCAAACCGCACAGACCATGTGCTTCCTGGTGGGGGCGGGCAGATGGGGGGTGGGGGACAGGGAAGCCCCAGCTGACCAGACGGAGGAAGCCCTTGGTGCCCAGGAGTGTCCTCTTTGGCTGGGCGCCTGGCGCCTGGGGGCGGGGTCTAAGATGGGGGAATGGGGTGACTTTACACTCTGGGGGGACAGGATGGCGGATGGCTTCTGTGGGCAGGGTGGCATCTCTGGGTCAGCTGTCCCAGATACCTGAGCCACCTTCCTGCCTGGCTTCTGGGCCCTGGGGCAGCTCAGCCCTTGTGTGACCGACCCCTGCCAGCCTCAGTGTCCACTCCCATAGAGTAGGATGGTCACAGTCTCTGGTGGAGAGCTCTGGCCAGTGCCCGCGCCAGGACCGGGGCCCAACTGCCCTCGGGGTACAGGGCTGGGCCGTCGGCGGGGCGGGGGGGGGGGCCGGGCCCGTGGTCTGTGGACCAGCTTCCCTCTGGACAGTGGCCTCTGGTCAGCAGCCTGCACTGTGAGGAGCCAGCTAAGGGCTGTCTTGGGCACAGGGCCAGGGTCACTTCTTGAGCCCAGAGCCCTTCGGGGTCCCCAAGGGAGGTGGCCTTCCTGGAGGAGAGTGTGTTTGGGAAGGGCACGTGCTCAGGGGTTGGCCTCAGGACTGGGCATCCCTAAGAGGCCTGTGGACAGTGTGGGTCTGTGTGGAGGGTGGGGCCCAGGTCTGGCCTGGGGATGGGACAGGTCTCATCCTGCAGGGCACCAGGAAGACAGTTAGCCCCCCCCACCCCAGTGTGTGACCTCGGTGACAAAGGGCGGTGGGGGGCTTCCCTGGGGGACCGGGCCCGTGCAGTAGGGATCGGTGAGCAGCAGGCCCCAAGTCTGGAGGGCCCGGAATGTTCTAGAAGGAGTCAGTGCTTCCTGGGGAGGCTGCTAGCTCCCCTGCCCTCTGACTGCCCGGCCTCTTGGGGACTTGTGAGCAGGAGGGATATGGTGCCAGGGCTGCTGAGGGACAGGAGGAGCCCACTCCGGGGGTGCTGACAGGCCCCTCAGGCCCAGTCTCTGGGTGTGGCAGGCTCTGCCCTACGTGGTCACCAGCGGCCATCTCTTCCCACAGATGGAGACGCCCAGCTGGCACCTGCCGTGGTGGACACCGTGCTGGCGGGCATCCCAGGGCCCCGAGGTCCCCCCGGCCCTCCAGGTGGGTGGAAGGGGCCTCCCCAGTGTCACATGGCCAGAGGTGAAGGGGCAGCTCCCCTGGCCTGTCTCCCGGGTGGGAGGGGCTCTGGGATGTGGGAGCCAGGCCCAGGGGAGGACCCAGGGCCTGGGGAGCTGACACAGGGAGCAGGGCCTGCGGTCACCTGGAGGGAAGCTGGCTCCAGGCCTGGCCTGACCCCATCCTCCACATGTCCTCCCTGGGGATGGCGTGAGACAGGGCAAACTGGCCACCGCCCCCAACCCTGCCCACCAGCTGCATGCTCGCCACACCCAGGGCTCCCTGGAGGGGCAGTGGAGGCCCTGGAGGGAATGGGCAGCCGGCCACCCTGCTGTCTCTCACTAGCTCTCTGTGCAGTGGACAGACGTCCCCTGAGCGCTTACTGCACACTGAGCCATGTGCCAGGTCCCCGGGGCCCCTGGATTCACTGCGAGGTGCCATCCTGGCCCGTGCCCACCATGTAGCACAGGGCAGGCCAAGTGCCGACGTCCTAAGTCACCTGAATAGGACGTGAGAGAGGGACAGGGACAGGCGGAGCTGGTGAGGAGGGAAGGGATGGTCCTAACGGGGACATTGGAGCAGACACCCAGGGATGCAAGGACATCGGGAGGAGGATGCAGGGCACCAGGAGGAGGACGCAGGGACACCAGGAGGAGAACGCAGGGACACCAGGAGGAGGACGCAGGGCACCAGGAGGAGGACGCAGGGACACCAGGAGGAGGACGCAGGGACACCAGGACGTGCCGCGTCTCGGGCGCTCAGGCTGGGGAGGGCGTTTGCTTTGAGGCCAGGCTGACCCTGATGTGCACCTGGTCACGCACAGGTCACCCTTTACCCAGATGTCCTCTCTGAGCCTGGGGACACTGAGCAGCCCAGCCATGGGTCCCCGCAGCCTGGGAGGCATAGGCCCGTCCATGGGGACAGGGGTCTCTCTTCTGAGCCAGGCAGAGATGTGTCAGGAGCCCCTCCCTATGCAGGCCCAGGAGACCCAGCCTGGCCCTCCGGCATCTGTCGCCTAACCCACCGCGGCTGTGGGTTCCTGTCAGGGATGGACCTGGGCGCAGGGGGACAGGCCAGGAAGGCTTCCTGGAGGAGGCGGCGCTGCGTCCCGCCCGGGAGAAAGCAGTGGGCAGGGACCTTGGGCCAGCGGAGGGAAGGGAGGCTCCGGGAAGAGCAGCAGCACAGGAGCCTTGCGGGTGGGCAGCTGGGGTGGGCAGGCAGGGCCAGGCACCTAGGGCCCCAGCAGGACTGAGGGGACGTGCGCCTCTCGAAGCTCACTCTGGTGAGGCACGTGGGCAGGAGGCTGTCCTAGGGACCCCAGACAGATGGACGGTTGAGGAGGGCCGGGTCCTGGGTCAGCGTGTGCCAGGCTTCCCAGGCTGAGTGCCAGGCCCACAGGGGTGGCCATCGCAGCCGGGTCTCCAGCTCTTAGGACTGGGCAGCCCAGGCCTGAGGCCCGAGGGGAGCAGGTGGAGGCAGAAGAGTGGACGGAGCTGGGCTGGGGCAGCGGGAGGGAGGCCTCGAGAGCACTCGGCTCTGCCCACAGGTCCCCCCGGACCACACGGCCCCCCGGGACCCCCAGGAGCACCAGGATCCCAGGTAAGGACGCGGCCATCTCTGGTGTGGACTGATGGCGGGAGGGACCGTGGCCTCTCCAGGAGGGGGAAGGCAGGCGGGCATCCTGGTCACTAGGGGCAGTGGCCCTCTGCTGCCCTGTCCCCGTGCACAGGTGAGAGGATCCAAGGCCCAGCCGAGGCCCAGGTCCTGGCCAGCTGTGGACGGGGCTCCAGGACCTAAAGGCCTCAGGCCTGGCCTTCCCATTTGCTCTCGCTGTCCTCCTCCCAGACCAGGGACCCACAGCGGGCTGAGGGGGGGACGGGAGCCTCTGGGCAGCAGGCCTCACGCGCCCTGTTTGGTTTCTGCAGGGCCTGGCTGGAGGGCAGCCCGTGGAGGGACCGGCTGTAAGTGCGGGCTGTGCCGTGGCCCCAGGGCAGTAGGCCCAGGTGCTGGGGCAGGGTCTCCCAGCCAGAGCGGGCAGCGGGAGGGACCAGGACAGACCCCATCAGAGCTGCCCAGAGGGGCCTGGAGTGGCCAGCGGGAAACAGCCTCCCGGAGGCTGAGGAGGGCCTCCCACGCCAGGCTCTGCAGGGTGCCCAGGGCACGACCTGCCCTGCTCCTCTCACCCCGGAGCAGGAGCCGCGGGGCCCACCTGTCCTGGCTCACTGCCCCGAGATCTGCCCCGGGTGACCGTGTGGCTTGCTCCCTAGGGCCAGCCTGGAGAGAAGGGAGCAGAGGGGGACAAGGCGGCGGCCACAGAGGTACGCATGGCGGTCAGCAGGCTCCCGCGGCCAGCCACAGTGCCGCAGGGAGAGGGCGGACCCTCTAACTTATCCTCACACCTGGCCTGGTGCTGGGGTCCCTGCCCTCAGCAGTGCCCAGCTCAGTGCAGCCGTGACTGCAGGGCAGATGGCAGATGGCGGGGCTGCCGGGTCAGGCCACAGGACCTGGGATGCAAGATGGGGACCAGTCCACGAGAGGTTGAGGGGCCCTTCTAAAGGGACAAGGCTCCCCTGGGAACAGACATGCCCACGGGCATTGGTGGGATGAGGGACAGGTGGCTGGTGGGTGGGAGGGGCAGATGCAGGAGGAGGGGTTTTGGGCCTAGAGCTGAAGGAGTGTTGGTCAGAGGCAGAGGTGGAGGCTGGATGGAGGCCAGTTGGAGGAGGAGCCCAAGCAGAGGCCAGGTGGAGCCCAGGTGGAGGAGGAGGCCAGGTGGAGCCCAGGTAGAGCCCAGGTGGAGGAGGAGCCCAGGTGGAGGCCAGGAGGAGGCCAGATGGAGCTCAGGTGGAGCCCAGGTGGAGGAGGAGGCCAAGTGGAGGCCAGATGGAGGAGGAGCCCAGGTGGAGGCCAGGTGGAGGCCAGGTGGAGACCTGGCTGAGCGGGGACCTGGGCCTTGGAGACAGGCAGCTGTGGGCGAGGCTGGGCCAGGACCTTCGGAGGTCCTTGTAGGACCAGAGCAGGGAGCAGGCAGTGAGGCTCCCGAGGTGGGCACAGGGGTGGCAAGGAGCCAGGGGAGGGGCTGAGGAGCGAGGCGGGTCCCTGGATCCAGCCAGCCCTGGCCCCCGCCGGCTGGCCCTGACCCTGCCTCCCTCCTGGCAGGGCGAGGGGGTGCAGCAGCTGCGGGAGGCGCTGAAGATCCTGGCCGAGAGGGTCCTCATCCTGGAGCACATGATCGGCATCCACGGTGAGCGCCCACCGCGCCCTGGCCTCCCCCGCCAGCCGCTGTCCTCAGGCCTCTGGTGGCCCTGGCCTCAGTGACCCCACCACTCAGCTGTCAGGTGGTCTTTGCCGGCGTCACCTGCCCCTGCCCCTCCCCTGCTCAGGGTCCCCCAGTGGGGACCGCCAGTGCGCCAGCCTGGCTCCTGAGACCCTTCCCAGCACCCCAGGACCCCGGCGGACCACAGCTGGTCACCAGGCTCCCGTCCCCTCGCCCTGCCCACTGGGTCCCTCCTGGAACACTGGCTCCCACCTTCCTCGGGCTTCCTTGTCCCCACCTTCCCTCCCCCCACAGGCTGGGACGGCCGTGTCTCCCTGGTACACGGGGATGCCTCGGGCAGACTCCTCAGAGTTTGTTAAAGAATCGATGAGTAATGGGTGGGCATGTGGACAGACAGAGGGACAGATGGACAGACAGATGGACGGATGGACAGACGGACAGATGGATGGATGGATGGATGAACAGACAGAGGATGGAAGGAATGATGGATGGGGATGAATGGATGGACAGATGGACAGACGGATGAATGGGTCCCCTCGTCCCACGGCCGGTGCTGGCAGCCCAGGTGCCTCCGATCGCACCAAGGCTGTCTCCAGCCTGCCCTCTCTCCCTCCTTCCAGATCCCCAGGCCTCCCCTGAGGGCGGCTCCAGCCAGGATGCGGCCCTGAGAGCCAACCTCAAGATGAAGCGGGGCGGCCCTCCACCCGACGGTGCCCTTGCTGCCCTGCTCGGTCCCGACCCTGCTCACAAGAGCGCAGGCCAGGCCAGTGGCAGGAAGTGACGGCCAGGCTCCCCAGGATGAGCCCGGACCTGGCCTGAGGACCATCCTGGGCCAGTGCTGCTGCTGGCTCCTGAAGATGTCCCACGTGGGCCTGGCCACCAGGCTCGGACACTGTGAGGGACACTGGCTCCCAGGCCCTGGGGCCTTAGTGACAGATGGTGTCAGGGTGGGGTCTGCAGGGGATGAGCACCCGCAGCAGAGGCCCCTCGCCCCTGTCCTCGTCCCCCGCTGCCTGCTGGAGGGGGCCTGGGGACTGGGCCTGGGTGACCAGAGCCTGCGGTGACGGAGCCCCTGCTGCCTGGGCCTTGGCGTGGGGCTGCCCCACGTGATCCTCAGGAGCCAGCTCTCACCCACTGACCCGGGACGAGGCGCGGATGAGGGTCTACCCACGTCCTGGGTCCTGGCCGGCACAGGATGGAGCCCAGCGTCCTCTGGCCCTGCGTCTCCTCCAGGCAGGAGGGTCAGGCCAGGCCGCTCCTGAGGCAGCCAGGGAGCAGGGAACCAGGCCGGGCCCAGGAGGGACAGGCAAGGCCCACACAGCACTGGAGACCAGGCCTGGCCCTTCCTCAGCTTCTCCCCGGGGCTTGGCCGGCTCCTCGGGCAGGCGGGCGGCTGTGCCTGGCCGGAGCTCTGGAACCTAGGGGACCCTGAATGAACCGACTGTCACATGGACCGGGGACTGCGAGGGGGGGCGGTGTGGTCAGGAACAGGGGTCTGTGGCGGGCATGGCCCACTGTCCCCATCTCCCTGAGCCCACCCCCCATCAGGCCCTGGCCACCCTGAGCCAGGAGGAGGGAGCACCGAGGGACTGTCCCCACAGGCGGGACAGCAGCCCCTGTCCACCCGCCTCCCTGGGCATCTCCAGGGTCTGCCGCTCCTGGGGGACACCTTGAGTTCGCGTCCCCTTGGCAAACTGGACAGAGGGCAGCTGGGGCACGGTGCTCCCGCCCAGTCTCCTGTGACCCGCCAGCCCCGGTGCTCCTCTTGCTGGGCCAGGACCTGGGACTCGCCACCAGAGGAATTGCAGAATGGAAGGTGCTGGCACCACCCGGGGCAGCGTCCCCACGGCAGGAGTGGCCGTCCCCTCGATCTTGGTGCTCACGTGAGGCTGCAGCCGGGTTCTGCTCGACTCATGGCCCCTCCCCCCGGGGCCACCCTGTCCTCATGGAGGGGCGGTCAGGGCCTTGCTGTTGTTCCCCGACCTGACAATAAAGGTGTCCTCCCACCGAGGTCTGTCCATGGGGGGCCGCCTGCAGGGGGCGGGGCTGTGTCCCCCTGAGCAGGCGCCAGGGAGCCCTGGGGTGACTTCCGCCAGCCACAGGGTGCCATGAGGCCTGCCAGGCGGGAAGGGTAGGTGACCCTACCCCGTCCCGGCTCCTGCCCAAGCCTGGGTCAGCAGCACGTCCTCCCCAGGCAGAACCAGAGGCCAAGTGCGGAGAGGGAAGGGGAGGCGGAGGCCGAGACAGATGGTCACCAGGAGCCCCTCCTCCGGTATTTGCTGATAAATATGTGACTGTGTCCAGGGCCCTGCCTCAGGCCCCATGGGTGGGACTGTCCCCCAACCACGTGACCCTGGGCTGGGGGACTCATTCAGCTTGCTCAGCAGTGAGACGAGGCCCAGGCCGGGCGGAGGCCTGAAACCAAACCAACAGCCACAGGGGGCAGCCAGGCCACTGTCCCAGGAATGCCCAAGAACATGCCTGTCCCCTTCGCTCCCCTCCCCAGGACAGGAGTTAGGAAAGCATCTCCCCCTCCCTTCCTTCCTGTGACAGGTCATTCACCGAGTGCCTTAGCCGAGGCAGGCCCCGGGAACCTCAGTGAACAGAGCAGACGGGAATCCCAGAGACACCCAGCTGCCAACGTCACGGGGACATCCAAACAGACAGTGAGCCAGGGCAGCGGCACAGGCCTGTGATCCCAGAGACTAGGGTGGCTGAGGCAGGAGGATCGCAAGTTTGAGGCCAGCCTCAGCAATTTAGCGAGGCCCTGTGCAACTCAGCGAGACCCTGTCTCAAAATAAAAAATGAAAAGGGCCGGGGATGTGGCTCAGTGGTTAGGAACCCCGGGTTCAAGCCCTGGTACCAATAAAAAAAGAGTTTACAAAGCCTTGGACAATGGGGGGGGGGACACTCCCTGCAGAAGATGTGCACGAAGACAAGTGTCACAGAGTAAGGGTACAAACCTAGATGCATGAGGACAAGTCACCACCCATGACATCTGGATGTGGCCAGGAGACACAGCAATCCAGGGGCCTGGGCTCACGAGTGTGCGATCCAGCAACAGGGCCATCTCCACAAACCCCGAGTGAGGAGTTGGTGCGCTGCTGGGCCCTGGGAATGTCCCACCCCATCGTCCTCTTGCAAGACCACTGCCTGCCCTCCAGTCTCTACCTTGATCAAATGGTTCCGCAGCGGGGCCGTCTTGCAGGTCGGTGGGATGGTTCGGAAGGAGGACGCCCGGCCAGGCTGGGAGGCCCGGCCAGCAATGGCTGCCTTAAATTGTTGAATCTTGAGTTGCTGTCTGCAGCTGGGGAGGGAAGAGCACTGCAGCAGAGGGGACAGCAGGTGCCACCATCCTGAGCCAGAGACATCCCTGGAGCTCAGGGGACAACGAGGAAGCTGAGGTGGCTGGAGCAGGCAGAGGGAGGGACACAGGGGACCCCGGCTGGTCCTGCAGGAGGAGGCTCTACACCAGTGGGGGTCTGAGTGCTGTGACCTGTGCTGGTCGAGGTGCCCAGGGTCACACTGGAGACAAAAAGAGACACAGGGTCCTGCATCTTTACAGAAACGAAGGAGGCGGGCCACCTGTCCAGCAGAAGAGCCTCAGGGCCCTGGGCCAGCAGGTCCCCAGAAGGGGTGCCTGGGCCCTGCGCCTGACCGGCAGGACAGTGAGATCCTCTGGTCTGGGTTCTCCAGCCCCGTAAGATTGTCCCAAAGGCCATCCGATCACAAGCTCCACTTGGAGTGCAGGGGCGTCGTCCTTTGCCTGAGCCCCTGTGTAACTGTGGGCCTGAGTCACCTCCGGGTCCCAGCAGGCCCCCGGGCAGGGCGGGGCATGATGGGGCAAGACCCAGGGCTTGGTGGGGCTGCAGGGCCCCTCGTGAAGGCTACTGCCCTCCTCTGTGGCCTCTGGCCACGGCTCCTGTCTCCACGACGGGGCCTGGGTTCCTAGAAGCTGTCTTAGGTCTATGTCCCCACATTGTCCCCTAGAAGGTCTTTCTCCCCCGTGGATGCTCCCGAGTCCCTTAGGTCAGAGTCGGGGTCTGGCTCATTTCTGTCTCCTGGTCCCTGGGCCAGGGCCTGGAGACTAAGCGTCACGTTTCATCAAGGAACACTACCCCACCTGCTCCCCGTCCCTGCTGGGATGCTGGCCTGGTTACACTGCAGAGCACCAAGTGACAGTCCCTGCCTGGAGCCACGCAACCCATGGGGACCAAGACAGCGTCCCGGGAAGCCCACTTCTAGTGACAGCATGGCCCAGCCAGAGGCCAGGGCAGGGCCACTCGGTGGAGATGGCCACATGTAGCCACACCAGCACCAACAGGGGAGGGGCTGGGACCTGGGGGGGGCACCGGGAAGGGCCAGAGAGGGTCCCCAGGGCCCAGAGGAGTCGGCCAGGCAGGAGACGGCACTTGAGGCAGGAGGAGCAGCCTGAGCAGAGACGAGAGGTGTCGGGGGGCTGCCCACGGGTCAGGGCACAGGAGGAGAGGCCTGGGCGCAGGGCCTGGCAGAGGCCACTCGGCTCACCCCACACCTGGCCCTGGCACCCCTTTGTTGCTGGACGAAGCCTCACATAATCGCCCAGGATAAAGTGCTCCCTGGGCTACAGGGGACCAGTGTCCCTGGACGATGGGCCCAGAGCAGAGAGAGGACTGACCCCAGGGGAGGGTTTGTCCTAGGCTGCCCAGAACACAATGCCCTGCCCATCTGCATGCCTCTTGTCCTGCTCGTGCCCGGGCCAGGCCGGACGGGGACCAGAGTGGGCAGGGCTGGGTATTCAGATGCTCAGGCCCAACTCAGAGCCACCAGGGGCAGAGCAGGCAGCAGGAGGCTGGCAGCTTCCAGCAGGAGCTCCTGCCGGTGGATGGACAGGACCAGGGTGCACCCAATAGGGCCAGGTCGCAGGTTCTGTGGGACCAGAGGCTCCCTGTACCTGAAGACCTGGCTGAGGGAGAGTCTGTCCAGGGACGTGACATGAGCTGGTCCTTGTGTGAACCTCACAACATGTGTCACCTCCTCCAATTTTACAGTCACCTCCCTGGTATGGAATGAATCAGCAGAGCCCCAGAGAGGCTGAGCAGCTTGCCCAGGGTCACACAGCAGGTTGGGGGTGAAGCCAGGGGCAGCCATGCTGGGGGGTGCCGGCCTGGAAGGAGGAGTGGAGGTGTCATGAGCGGAGAGTCTGAGGGAGGACACTGCCAGGACAGGCCGAGGGTGAGCAGAGGCCAGAGTGGGCGAGGGGCATGGCAGGGCTGGTTGGGGAATGGCCAGGATTCTCCTGGGACATGGAATGCTGTCAGATGCAGGTTCTCCAAGGACCCCAAAGGCAGGTGGGAGGGGAATTGGCCCAAGGCATGAGCAAGCCAGCTAGGGTCTCCCCTGCCAGTCTGGCCCTCATGGGGCCCAGAGAAGGATCATGCCACATGCAGGTCTGACGGTGCCCCTGCCTTGCTCCTGAACTTGCTGCGGCTCCCCTGTGCTCTGCACTCTGCCACCTGGTGCTGTCTTCCTGGTCCCTATCCTCCTGGCTGCCCGGGAAGCTGCCCCAAAGCTTTCTCACTGGGGAGCCTCATCTCTGCAGCCTGCAGGTGCCGGTTTTCAGGCCCGGGGAGGTGCAGGGGCCTGCAGCAGGTAGGGGAGGGGCTCACAGCCAGTTCAGACCTGGGCTGAGCGCCCCCTCCTCTGTCCCCTCCTCAGACCCATTCTATTGCCGGGACTCGGGATAGGAAGCCAATCGCCCAGAGCCCCTGCTCAGATGCGCAGAACCAGGTCCCTGTCACCTGCTCTGCTGGAACAGCCCTCTCCCCCAGCCCAGTCCAGGGGGCTCCCGAGTCCACCTCTGCCCACTCCAGGGCCTGCCTGGGCCACCCAGGGGCTGATGAGGAGATGGGCACAGATGGCCTCCTCCTCCCAGCCGCATTCAGGCTTGTCCTTCTCCCTGGGTGGCCTCTCTCCGCACCCTCCAGCCACGCCCAGGACACTGCTGCCTCCACCTGGAGTCCAGGATCCCCTCGCTCCTTCCTCCCTCCATTGGTCAGCCCCTCTGCAGCTCCACCCTCGGCCCCGCTGCCAGGGGAGCGCAGGGCTGTGCGCAGGCGCCCAGCGGCCACATGGC